TCCCAGAAGGTGAAGAGATTAATAAGGGCATTGATAGTCTATTCCATGAAATCCTGGAAGAAAACTTTCCAAACCTAGAGAAGCATTCAAAGATCTAGGCCCAAGAAATACAAAGGACCCCAAATAGGATCAACCCAAGAAGATCCCCAATATGCATTATAGCCGGATTTACCAAAACCACAAAGACAAGATACTAAGATTGGCATGAGAGAAAGGTCAAGTTACCTACAAAGTATACACCATCAATAGAGTTCAAAAACAACTAAGAAAGTAGCCAACTTAATGGTAGGGACAAGTCCAGAGTTGAACGTTTTTCCAGAATTTAAATGGAAAGATAGGACCACAACAGAAGATAGATTAAGTACATAAGTATGAACGGGTGGAATAGAATTCTACAACTTTTTATTTTATTTATTTTTATTTTTTAAATTTATTTATTTTTTGTTTGGAGAGGTTTTTTGCTATAGGGCGTGTGTGCTTGCCAGACAGACAGAGAGAGAGACAGAAAGACAGAGAGCGAGAAATCACCCCCCAGGGGGATGGCCATGCCACAATCCCTTCTCCTCCATTCTCCTCTCGGGATCTTGGGCACACACACACATGCACCCGGTGTGAGTTTTAAGCCACCGGGTCCGGGACTCGAACCTTGGTCGACTACGTGGGAGTCCAGCGATATAGTCATTACGCTAACTGCTGGTCCCCCAGAATTCTACAACTTTTGACTAAAACATTACTGATCTTCTTCTATACTTTATTTTCCAGAGTTAAGAATTTTTGTCTTCTCTTGAGTTGTCAACAGGTCCATGTACCTACTATTTGAACAGAATCCTAACCTCTTTCCTGGCTTTAAGTCTACAGCAAAGTTCTCTTAACATTTTTTTATTTTGATTTCTTAAAGCTAAAACTGCCTTTCTTGAAATTAAAAAGTATATTTAAAAATACATATTTAATGACTACAGTAAGCTATATAGCCTCAGCTAGACGCTACTTTATAGTATATTCATTCTACTCAGTTTCATGCCTAAAGTCAAACATGTGTTCACAGATATATATACATATATATATAAAATCTCAGCTGAACTTACTATTGAAAGTAGTTAGATTAATTAAGACATTTTGTGAATCAATAAAATGTGGGGGAAAAGGAAAAGGAATGGAAAGCGACTGCAGATACCGGAGTCAGTGAGAGAGGAGGGTGGGAAATGAGAGAAGGTAAGAAATAGGGAGAAAATAAATAAATAAATATATACACATAAGAAACAAGAAATAGAAAATTATTTGTTGATGATAACATGTATGATTAAGCCACAATACAGTGTATTCTGGATGGGAAATTGCATTTTGTATGTTGTGATATTCAGTGAATGAATGTAAAATAAATAAATTTTAAAATAAATACATTTTTAAAAAGTCATGATGTATTTTTGCATAGAAAAATAGGACATAACTTGTCCAACGTAACATTTAATGATTTTGTTCATGATAGAGAGTGCGTGCAAGATCTTGGGCACCTGTACACAGCCATCCTTTGCTCATTCGGGTCAACTGCCCAGTGGTCCAGACTGTGGTTGGTCATGTGGCTTTCAGCACTGCAGTGCACCAATCAAGGTATTTCGGTAGGAACTGAAAGAGTGGAGAACAGTGAAAGAATGGAAAGCATGATTTTTCACGATATAGTCACGTTTTAAATCATAAACACGTATCAAGCTTTCAGGGGTGAGGAAAGCTGCTGCACTAGGAGACAGGTGTGACTGTGCAGTGAGAGCAGAGAGAGCGTTCTCCTGAGGACTCCCGTATCCCCAAGAGGGATATGCGCCCATGAGTCATAGCATGCTCCAGGGTGTGTGACAGTCCCCTGCTGGCTGCTAGGTGGCACTGACACCATGGCCTTGCCTGAGAAGCAAAGTCAGAATGCTGCAAAAACTTCACAAACTTTTGTGAAGTCAGTCCCTTAGGCTACCTGCTGGAAAACAAAAACATGCTGAGACTACCTCTCTCCAAAGAAGCTCACAGAGTAGCTGAGTTTCTACAAAAGGAGTCTGGAAGGCAGAGTCTAGGGAATCTAGAAATCATACTGAGCATCAGGGGGCAGATATGATGAGAAGTTTCTCCCTCTCTCTCTCTCTCTCTCTCTTATTTTTAATTTTTATCATTTTTTACATTTTCCCCAGCCACTTTCAGGC